GGTTGTTTTGATGTTTTTTCGAAGTAGGTAGACCTTATCTTCCTTCTGTAGAATTAATCTCTCAATCCTTTTGGAGTTTGCATATCGCATTATTCATTCTTGAATGAATTGTAATTCTAATCAGAGTTCCTCCTGAACTTTCTTAATCTTCTTAGTTCTTTTATCTGCAGCTTCTGCATTTGCTTCCAGCAGTGCCTTATAATAAGCTGTTGGATTGTATCCATAGAGTACGAAGAATAGTGATTTCTTTATTGTACTCGTATCTGCACTATTATAAGCGAACTGTATAAGAAGCAATAAGTTAACTCAGTTATCCTATTTCTAGTTGATATAGTATTGTAAATACTATTCAATAACTTGGTTCATTCTTTCCGTTTGTTTATCTGTTTGTAAGTAAAATGCTATGAATATTCTATAATATATTTTGAGCTGTTTTATAAGCGAAGTTCAAAACTTCGAATTAAACTTTCTATCTTTATTAGAGATTACTTTCTCTAGCATGCTATAATTAGCAATAATCGTTCTAAGGAATACATATACAAGTTTCTCTGCTATACTGCTTTCCTTATAGAGAAGAAAATAAGCATATTTGCTCAGTTTGCAAATTACTACTAGAATGCTATCGTATTATACTTTAGTTAAGAGTTCTTGTGAAAAAGATAGCTTAGTAATGAAGTTTAGACTGATAGATTGCTAAATAGTTATAAGTACTGATAAGGGATGCAGTAGTTTATAAGGCTTGTATTTTTCTGCTTTATTCTTCTTGCAGCTATTGCATTGTTGTAGAATGCTTTCAATTCTTTTTCTAAGATCTGATAGATTCTAGTATCTTCTAATGCATTTGTAGATTACTCTGATTCTCTGATATCCATATACTGGTACATTATATACATTCTTAATATAGTTATTTTATTTGTTTGGAGTTATTAATTCTGAATTCTTTTCCAAGAGTTCAATTCTGAAAGTAGCATTCAGTTCTCTATATGCATTGATGAGATTTCCTAACTCATCTTGAGCGAAGATGTTCTGTATATTCGAAGAATCTGTATTTCGATAGTCTGATCTTTTGCTAAGAGTATTCGCTTATCCGTTCTCTGAGCTTTTGCAGTGTACAATCTTGAAGTTGAACTATAAGAGGAATTCTGCTCATCTGATTTGTTGCTTATTCAAAATCTTGGTTGTTATGAATATAATCAGATTCTTGTAATCTGAGTGAACTATGATCAGATATTGTATGCTAATAAGGTAGTATTGCTACTTCTCGAAGGCTTTTATTATTGCTATGAGTTTCTGATTAGAAATCCTGTAGTTAACTTCTGAGCTGTTCAATTTCTTTGAGAAGTTGCTTACAATCCTTAGATGTTCTTGGTTATCTTACTAACCAAGTTGTTCTTCAAGTATATATCCTAATGTATTGATCTTAATTTCAAAGGGTTTGTAAGGGTTTGCTTTATACAGAACTAGCTCTGAGGTAATGTGCTTAATAATCTCATCAAAGGCTTCTTATGCTTTGGAGATTCATTCGAAAGGCTGCTTTTTCTTGGTGAGATTTGTAAGGGAATGTGCAATCCGGCTGTAATTCTTAATGAATTGCTTGTAGAAATTAATGTATCCGAGGAAAGATCTGATATCTCTAACGTTTCTGGGAACCAGCTAATTTCTGATAGCTTCTATCTTGTTTTTTTGTAGCTTAATGCATTCTAGCTTGATTGTGAATCCGAGGTAGTTAACTTTTTGTATATGAAAGTGACTTTTTGCGGGTTCTATAAGAAGCTTTGCATCTTGAAGCATTTGCAGCACTATTTCCACGTATTTTTTGTATTCTTTCAGTATTCGAAAGAAAATGAGGATGTTGTTGAGATATGCGATAACGAACTGATTCAGATGCTTGTATAGAATATGATTAATTATCTCCTGGAACGAAGCTGGAGCGTTTGTTAAGCTGAAGAGTATAACCAAATATTCGTAGTATTTGTAGCGCATTCTGAAGGCAGTTTTCCATTCTTCTTCTTCCTTTACTCTGATCAGGTTGTAAGCTTCTTTTAGGTTTAGAACTGTAAACCATTATGCTCTCTGCAATCTATCTCGTAATTCCTTGATAAGTAGCAACAGATATCAGTTCTTAATTGTAATATTGTTGAGTTGCTTGTAATCAATATATAGCCTGAGCTTGCTATTTTTCTTAGATATAAATAGAATGGAGTATTCTGCTAGTAATTGCAATGATTATATATATTCTTTCTTAAGATTCTTATCGAAGTACTCTCTGAGTGTTTCTAGCTGTATTTTGTTTAGTTTGTAGATGGAGAAGAATTTGGGCTGTTTCCCTTCTTGTAGCGGAATCTCGTAATTATATAAGCTGTATTCTAGCAATCCTGTATTCAATTCTTTCTGAAATAGTTTCTTGAACTTATAATATTCTTGTAATATGTTTGCAAGTATTGGTTCTGATTCTTGTGCTGTTTCTGCTATCTGGAGGAACAGTAGGTATTGTTGAGCATGCTTCTTTTCTGATAGCGTTTTTGAGAGCTTTGAGCGTTCGCTCCGAGCTGGAGCGAGCGCTCGAGAGCTTGGTTTCGAGGTTTTTCCTGTATAGATCCACAATTCACTTTCTGAAGCTTTTTCTTGTTGCTCCGAGGCGGACTGACTTGCTAAGAGTTTCGCTTTTGTTATTTTGCTAATCTGTTGGCGCTTTGGCACTGTTTGAGTTCGCTTGTTACTAGGTTCTTCTTCTTGAATTGCTAGCTTTGCTGATTTGAAAGTATGTATGAAGTTGTCTGAAGCTTCTTTTCCCGAATGTTTTTCAATAACTAGCTTCGATCCTGCATTATTGATTACAACTATTTCTCTGGGTATAGCTTGTTCCTATAAGATCTGGCTAGTAGTTTAATTAATTCGAGGATTGTGCTTCTTAAGCTATAGAAGCCTTATAATCAGCTTATACTATGCTGTATTCATGATGTTAAAAGAAGCTCTGATTATACATTCTAGGATTGAAACAGATAAATAATTAGTTTTCTTATTGATTACTTCTTAATTGTATGCAATAGATTGTTCTTTTACAGTGCTGAGAGTGTATAAGCATCTCTTCCATCTCCATTGTAGTTATGCTTGATTGATGATATATAGGGATATAAAGTTTCTCTGAGCGCTACTGTTCAATAGTACGCTGTACTTATATTTCTGAATATATATGTTAAACTTAATATAAGCGTAATCTGTTCTAAAAGCTTTATATAAGAATTATTCTAGTCTGATCGTCTGCAGTTCCTTTACAAGCAATTCTGTTCTTTTGAATTCGTTGAAAGCTGTTTATTCTTCTGAGCTTGCTTTGCTGCTTCTTAAGCAAGCTTCTTAGCTTGCTTTTGCTCATATTATTATTATTCCTAGTCTTTCTTTTATTAATGCTAGTTGCAAATCTTATTATTGATGTGAATCGTGCAGAGTATTGTTTTGTACTGCTACTATTTTATTTTCTTATTCATATATTGCATAAAGCAGTTATCTGGTAATCCGATATATGCATTGTAATACTATTTGTTGAGAACTTTTCTGAAGCGAAGTTCTTTTTTCTTAATAGCTTAAAGGATTTATTCTGATTCTCTGATGGAGAATCATTCGTATTGCATCTTGTCTGAGAAATGCGTTCTGCAGCTATGATAGGTGCAGGAGATTCATGCTAGTTTATAGTATAGATTGTAGAGTAAGCTGATTCGAAGATCCTTGTTTTCTTATGCCTCAATGTTCTGCAAGGAGATGCAGATGAAGAGCTCTTCTAATCCTATCTTATAAATAAGATATTCAATCTATATTATTTTCTTATTTCATTCAATACTAAAGGGGAATCTTTCTGTAAGTTTCTTGGGTTTATTGTTTATAGGAAACTTTAGTAAATTATTGAATTGCTCGTTCTAGCTTGATCTTTCTGTTGCTTGAGAAGCGTTTTCGGTATTGTTTAGATATTTATACTAATAACTAAGAGGGTACTATTCTTTGTTCATTTCTCTGGTTATAGTATCTGGTGTAGGTAATGAGGAATGGCGAAGAGTATTGTTATTAAGCTCTTCTTCCAGTGCCTGAATGCTTTATTCAGTGATATTGGAGCAGTTCGAGTTATTGCTACTTGTAGTCGTGCTGAGCGTATACTCTCGCCCTGCTGTCGCTATCTGCCTGTGGCATCTAGATTTCTGAGGGAATTATCCTGAATCTTTCTTATTCGAGAGGTGTATTAAGCAGTTGTTGTTGTAGCAGAATATTCAGCTGAGATTTCCGTAATTAATAGAATTCGATATTTGTTTCAAGAGAATGTTTTTGCTTAGTTGATTGGATTCCTATTACCAAGCGATATTCATCTAGCATTCTTTCTGAACTGATTACTATTTGTTCTTCCGGAGTTGATAGCAGTTGTATATAATATATCTTTATTTGTTGCAGTTGTAACAAGTAATGCTGCTCTTCTTGCTATACTGCTTATTAGCTGCATTGAGTTTCATGAAACTAGTGTATATAGTACTGCTCTGAGCTATACTGCTATATCGACTGCTATTCTTATTTTGAAGTTTCTTGCCCGTATTAGCTGGAAATCTCCAAATCTAACTTTCTTTCTTCTTGAACTTTTCTACTTATTGTTCATATAGATGGTTGTTAATGCGGATAGCTTAATTAGAGAATATTGCGAAGTTCTCTAGCTAATTCTGTTTGAAGATTTCGTTCTTAATATCGTTCTTAAATCTCTTGTAATAATATTCCATAAGATTCTTATCTTCTTACAGGAGTTATACTACAAGTTGCTTGAATCTAACTGTATAAGCAGAAGCTAACTTGGTCTGCTTAAGATTCATAAGCTGCTAAGCTATAATGCATTCTTTGTTGGAATTATTAAAGATTTTCTTAAGAGCTTTCTCGAAGCTTTTAAAAGAATTGAATATATTTTTGATATTCTGAATATATATGCTGGAATTGTTCTGATGCTTCAAGTAGTTGCGCAAAGAAAGTTTGTATTAGATAAGAGCATCTTTTTCGAGATAAGTTCCTACAAGGATAACTTTCTCAGATTTCTTAGTAAACTGAGTTTCGTAATACAGGAAATACGCTCTGCAGTAGATAAGGAATCTATGCAGCATTTTTTGGTTGCTGTTATATATAGCAGGCTTATTCATCTTGTATGCTTTTCCAGCGCTACTGATAATTGCAGAGATAAACTGCGCCTGCTGAGCTTGTTAAGCTAGCTGGGCTTGTTAGTTGGCGATAGTAGCGCTCTAAGCCTGCTGTTGTTTGCATAGATTCTGGATATGCTGAGTAAGCTGATATACCTAATTAACCAGTTCTTCCTGAGTAGGGGCGTACGAGAACGAAGGAATTCCTGAAGGAGCTATCGTATTCTGTATTGCTTAAGAGGGTAATACTGAACTGTTCTTGAACAAGAATTATCAAAATGTAATAAGTATTGCAGCAATCCGAAGATTTCTAAGTATACGAAGGAGTTTATGCTAATAAGAGCAGTATCAAAGTATCAAGTTCTTGAATATAAAATTATACAAGTTCTAATAAGCGATGCAAGTATTCACTGCCTTTGGAACTACTTAGTATATAAAACTGAATACTTAGATTAACAATTGAAAAGCTATATATAAGATCTATCTAATGGGAATGAATGTATCCTTATATATCCAGCTCTTCAGTTCTGTTGGTAGTATTGGTTGTTGGATTCTTTGGATCATCTGGGTGATCCAACTGATCCAGATTACCATGGATTAGCTACTGATCCATCCTGATCCTGTAATCCTAATTCTTGCTTATGTAAGTCTTAGTCCTTGAGATATTGAATCCTTCCCTGTTTTTCCGGATAGTTGTTCCGGGTATTCTGGCTAGTGACCTGCATGTTGAATGGGTTATAACACAGCTCTTCAGTTCTGACTAACCTGACTATGTTATGATTTCTTATAGTTATTTTTCCGAATATGTTAACTATGTTCATAGCTAATATAGTTGCGCTAGCAATCCTAATCCGGGTTACGTAATCCTGATTGGTACCCGATGTTGAGTTGTGATACCTGGTTCCTTGGTTGGTGGGGCTTATCCTGTGACCTGCATGTTGGATGGGTCATAACACACTGAGAGACCTTGAGAAGCCTTGAGAGGCCTGAAGCACTGAGAGATCTTGAGAAGCCTTGAGAAACCTGAAGCACTGAGAGATCTTGAGAAGCCTTGAGAGGCCTGAGGCACTGAGGGACCTTGAGAGGCCTTGAGAAGCCTGAGGCACTGAGAGACCTTGAGAGGCCTTGAGAGGCCTGAAGCACTGAGAGATCTTGAGAAGCTTTGAGAAACCTGAGGCACTAAGGGATCTTGAGAAGCTTTGAGAAGCCTGAAGCACTGAGAGATCTTAAGAGCCTGAAGCATTGAGAAGGCGTAGGAGCAGCTAGGAAGCAGCGAAAGCCTGAAAGCAACGGAAGCCTGGGAGCAACGGAAGCCTGGAAGCAACGAAAGCTTGGAAGCCTCAAAGGCCTTGAGGACAAGGCCTGATAAGGGGGGACAATCTGTCAGGGCCGATTGTGCCAGCAAGGCTCAGAGCCAGCTAAGCCAGCTGGATTACGGATGACTAAGCAATATGCAGCTATAAAGCGGCTTTCTAGCCACGTCAGCACTGCTGAGCAGAACTTAGCTCCTTAGGCCTCAATGTTATTCTGGTTGTATGCCCCTGAAAGAGAGAAAAGACCTCGCCACATTGCCTTTGCAACCTTTCCACCTAACATGCTGCTTCCCTGTTGTGACCTGCATGCTGGATGAGTTATAACACCTTGCTAACAAGAAATCAGATATTGCGATCCAACATCGAACAATCATCAGAAATTACATAAGCAAAGGTTAGAGTTGAATCATAACAAAAGAAGTAAGCTACTTACTGAATCATCACAATACGAATCACGGATTACAGTAAGCTAAATAAGCTATAATAAAGAGCTGAATATATATAAGAATACATTTACTACTAACTAGATAGATTATTATATATAGCTCTTCAGTTATCAATCTAAGTATTAGATTACTTTCCTACTCTGATAGCTCCAAAGGCAGTGAATACTTGTACAGTTATCTTAGTTGTGTTTCCGTATTCAAGGCTTGTACTTAGCATCGCTCTTGTTAGCATAAACCTTTTGTGTACTTTGGAATCTTCGGATTACTGCAGTGCTCATTACACGAGTACATTCTTATTTCGTAAAATAGTACTAATTTGTAGTTAATTAGGGAAATTTGTTGTAGAATTTTAAATGATTCTAGCTTTTTGTAATTAAGTTTGTTGCTAAGCTTAGTTATTTTGATGTTTTTGCAAAGTAGGTAAGCTGCGCTCTTGTGCCCATGTGGCCTGGATTTGCTCTTCCGTTTTTCCATCAGCACTTGTTACAACCTATCCTATATGCAGGTTACAGGACGGGACCAAACGTTCATCTGTTTGTCTGATGGTTCCATGGCTGGGCTTCGTTCGGAAGCGCTATTCCTATATATACAGTGGTACGTACGTAGGGTTCATGATAGAGCGGAGCTTGTGTTGAATAACGAACGTCTATTGAAGCTTATCTGCTGAACCGGAACTAACCGCTTCCCCACAGTGAAGCACGGGCCACACCACCTCACAGCGCTTCGCCGTACCCGCTGTTCCTCTCCTTGCCCACTCAACAACATTCATCGCTAGCGCTCTTTCGCATCCTATCTCCACGAAGCCCTGCCTTCGCAAAGCCCTCTCGTCCTACTCAACACGCCCCATCACTCATCATCATGAACTTGCCCCTAGATTAGGATTCGATCATCTTCCCTCCTGTCGATCCTTTCGAGTATTTCGATCAATTTCCTGACTGTATAAAGGCGCTTCACAAGTTCCTGCCGCGCGACATAAACCCCTACTCCATCTTTACCACCCTCCCCAGACAGTTCAATACTGTCACAATACCGCTGCAGAACTCGGAAGCTTTCTTTTTCGATATAATCGATATCGGCCGGATGTCTGAGAACCAAGCTGACTTTTTCCGCTGGCTCGGGGAGCGGCGGGAGGAGAGGCTGAAAGAGTTGCATGAGCTCTGGAGTGAAGCACTGGACTCCTTCAAAGTGTTTGATAAACTCTGTGATGATAAGAATTAGCAGTTTTGGTATGATATTACTACTATCAACTGTCAGAAGTCCTTGGATGCATATATTGCATATTTTGCATCGCTTATGCTACGATCAAAGGATATTGATATCTTCAACTGATCTGCTACATCGCGCCCGACGGCAGCTGGCGCCGGCGTTAGACCTGAAGGAGCAAGATCACTCCCTTCGGCATACTCGAGCTTTGAAGAAGTTAACCGGATATATGAGGAACCCTGGCTATCATACGAGTCAACAGATGAGGAATACCATCCAAGAGACGAAAGAGACGGACTCCCAAGCCCGGGAGCCTGGCCACCATACGAGTCAACAGATGAAGCATGCGATCTGAGAGACGAAAGAGACTCGGAGCAGAGCGGACCGCCCCCCCGAAGCGAATCGCCCTCTTCTAGATACGCGACACCACCCGAGTACCGAACCACCTCGCCTGCGCTGACAGATGCGTCATATTCTCCTGCGGGGCAGGCTCGGGATGGGGGAGAGAAGAGCTGGGAGAGGGCCGATGTTCCTGTGGCAGGCAGGAAGAGGAACAAGGCGAGGACAGCAGCACCCCGCCCGTCGCCAGGCCGTGTGCAGAAGAAGCCGAGGTGGAAAAAGAAGCAGAGCCCGGCTAGAGACAACCCCGACCGTGCCCGACCTGCTATCGGCGGCAGCCTGCAACAGACAAGGCATGAGCGAGCCGCTGACAAGATGCTCCGGACGCTGGAGGGCAACGAGCAGACAGAAAGCCTACCGCCCGGCGGTCCCGGGGATGGGGATGGGGATGGGCAGCTTTCTCCATCGCCCCCTTCCCCCTCAGCCCTACAGCACAAGCAGCAGCAGCAGCAGCAGCAACCGAAGAGTGTGTCTCGTCACAGAGCTGGGCAGCCTCCACAATCAGCATCCACGGCACTTGATGGAGTTCGTGGAGCCAAGATAGCTAAGACTCGGAGGAAGCGTGAGCCCCGGGAACCCGAAGCTTCTTCCCGGCTGCTCTCTGCCGCCCGACAAGCGCCGTCTGGCCCGGAGCCTCCTGGCCCTCCCCGGGACGCCCTGTCAATAACATCTGTACGCAGGAGCCGGCGGCTGGAGGAGAAGGCGCAGGGAAGAGCAGCTACAGGTCTCGATGTCGGGGACAGGTGGAGAGCGCGCCCGGGCCGGCAGCGGGCAGCCTGACAAGGGCGGAGCCTGGAGAACACCCAGCAGCGACCCAGCACTTATGGACATGTAGAGAGAGAGGGTAAGAGGGTAGGTATCTCCTGCTAGTGGGCAGTCCTAGAGCATCATCACCACAGCCCCGAGCATTCTTTCAGGCATGGTCGTTATCCCGGCAGGGCTGGGTGCAGCGGCGTAGTCTGGTTGATGTGCTCTATAGGGTTTTGGCAGGCATGGTTGTTATCCCGGCAGGGCTGGGTGCAGCGGCGTAGTCTGGTCGATGTGCTCTATAGGGGGATTTTGGCAGGCATGGTCGTTGTCCCCAAAGGGCTGGGTGTAGCGGCGCCGTCTGGCAAGGCCGAAGCCTGAGGTTCTCTTCAGGGTATCAGCTTACCGTCACATGGAAGCAAGCAAGCCAGGTCAACAGGAAGCTGGCTCGGACGGAGGCAGGCATGCTGTCGTGACTGCAAAATATACGAGGTATTGGTTCCATCGCATAGTCTTCATTTTTTTGATACCGTAGTCCCCAAACGGATCCCGTGTGTTCAATGCCACCTTAGCTCTCCCAGGCGGATGTGAGGATGGGAATAGGCATGCGACATCTAACGAGTGGACACCTGACTCTACCTTCTTAACCTATTGATGTGTTCGTATTCAAGATATGTAGTCGAATGAATCATTATTAAGAATAAAGCAGGGTTGTGTGCTAGAATGGGGAAAGGAGACGGGATGCGGATAGAGTTGTTCCCAAGAGTCGAGGTATCCTTGGTCAATGATTAGCTGCGCTACCGTCTTGAGGGGATGCGGTGATGCGGCAGGATCCTGTTCGGGAGGTTGTCAATCCTCTTGTATAGACTTGAGCAATCCCGTTCCAAGCGTCATCAGCAGGTATGATCTCGGCCTTCACGTCTCCAGGCGCTCGTCGGGGCTGCGCAATCTCTGCTGTGATCTTATCCTTCAGAGCTACGAAATAGATATTTCTTTGTGATACCGGTCACGAAAGAAAAAAAAGGGATGCTATTGTAGTTGATGAGATGCAAAGTAGATTCTTAAGATACTATATGTGAGACTCGAGTATGAGGACGACGAAGGCAAAGTCACTGTGCTAGTCCCTTGGAACGGAGATGTCTTTGCCTCACATACTACTCTATGCCTGTCCAAGGTAGGTCATGAGACCCTCTCTTCCCGAACTCTCCGCAGGCATACCCACTAGTAGCATCATAGTCCTGCAATACCAAGACTTTCAAGGATGACAATGTATTCTGTGAGTGGCTCTCTGATGAATTAGGGTGTTGTTGTAATGCATAGGCTTAGTTCACCGAGATCGTGCACAGTGTGGACATGGGACAAGCAGGCAACTGTTATAAGATCTTGGAGGATGGGATCTCGAGCGTGTGCTGGTAGCAGTGGAGTTGAGCTACCAGCTGGTCGACGGCCCGCCTGCCTGATCTCGTCGCCATCACGCCGACTCCTTGTCCTGTTCAGCCTCGTCCTCCCTCACAGATTCCATCTTCCCTCGCGGCCGGCTTCTCTCACCTCTCTCACCTCTCCAGCGCAGGGGCATCTGTCCTGTTCAGCGGGGTAGTTGATGTATATTCTATATGCATCTGACAATACAAAGAAAAAAGCAGTACATAGTACATTCTATATGCGCCGGACCCTACAAAGGAAATTCCCCAACAGCCACCACCTGACTCGTGCAGCAGCAGCAGCAGCAGCAGCAGCAGTCCCCACAATCCCGGGACCGGCCCTGGGTTATCGCCTCCGTCCTCAGCCTCGTAACCGTGACGCAGCCTCGTCTCCTCCCTCAGTCTCGTCTCCTCCCTTAGCCTCGTCTCCTCCCTCGGCCTCGGCGGCCAGCCGGCGCTGCTGCTCCCGCCAGTGGTCCCTCAGCTGGTCCCTCAGCTGGTGGGACTGCCCCATGGCGTAGTCCTGTGCATTCCGGAGCTCTTTTCGGCCAGTCTTGAACTCCTGGTAAGAATTGGTAAGAAGTGTCGAGTTGATAGGGTACTGATGGTATTCAGGCCTACCATCTGTAGAGGATGGCCTGGCATAGTGTGCAAACTGGTTGAGGAGTGTGCCGTCCAAAGTAAATGTTGTAACTTGGGCGTGCCCAGGGGGATCAGGCGTTCCGAGATACGAGAGAGCCTGGTTCCTCGAATAGACAAGACAGGCTCCGTCATAGGCGCTCTGCACCTTGGCTCCTGTCAGTCTGAGAGGGCCTTTCCACTCGCCAGCTAGATGTGGCAGGGTTATGGGGTCATAGTCGTTCTTGTAGAGAATAGCTCCATTCAGCTGCTCATCAGCCGGGAATGGCCCGAATGCACTTTGTGCAAGACCCTGGACGTAATCAGGCTGCGGCGCAGACAGGCCGTCGTTGAACCCAAGATCTGGTGGAAAACCTGTGAATGGCCGATTACATGCATATTTATAACCTTGCGGATAATCTTTCTTCAGCAGAGATTGGCTTGCAAGTATCACGTCAGCCTCGGTGTGAGCGTTGCTAATGTTATAAACGTATCTCTCGAAGGTTGATCTGGTGGGCGAGGCTGAAATGCGGGATGCAGCATACTGTCTGCGGAGTTCGTCGCGGTTCGCAGGAGGTCTGGAGTCCGGGTGGAGGAAGATGCCATTCTTTCGAGCCTGAGCAGCAAAGCCGGGCGCTGTGCTCGAGATCGAGCTTGTGTTCCTGGTCGTGGCATCAGGGAGGCCCGATGCACCAGCACCCTTCTCCCCAGTCATCCTGTCGAGCAGGGCGAGGTTCTTGCGCGTCAGCGGCGCCCGCCTGCACAGATACGTGGCTCCAGGGGCCTGCGCTGGTGGGCCCGCAGCCTTGGGAGGTGTGCGAGCTGCCTGCTTGCGTCACGACGCCGTCGTCAGCCAGTGTCCTGCAGAAAGAAGAGAGAAGAGAGGGGATCGTTGCGTGCATACCTTGGCTGCCTCTCCTGCCTGGCCGTCCTCAGCCTTGGGTGCTCGTGTGTCCGGGGACTTCTGCGGAGGATCTTTGTAGAGGCGTCAGCACGGACTTTATCTCACGGAAACAAGGAGGGCACGCTGCCGACATACCTCTGCCCTGGCCCGCGGCAGCAACAGTGCTCAGCAGCTGTTCTGAGGAGGGCGTGGGGGGTTTCCGAGAGCGACGGGTCTGCCGGGTCTGCCGGGTCTGCCGGGTCTGCCGGGTCTTGGCAACTCGGCTTGTCATGACGAAAAAGAAGGACGAGGAGGAGGAGGTTTATGTAGAAGATGTTAGCATGGTTCGGGACAGCTCAGATCAGATCTCCAGTGAAGGGGGGGCCGCAGGACTGGTTTAGGGCGGGCTGGATGTCAACCTGAGAAATGAGATAGGGACCGGCAACAAGAGACATTTTAAAGCCTAGAGGAAACCTGCCCGGAAAAGAAGCCTTTGTTTGTGTGGGTAAAGGGCTGCTTTGTTCCGGCCCCGCAGAGGTCGGGGGAACATGAGCCGTCTTTATTCATGTGAGCAAGAGGTTCACCGTCTTTGTCCACTTTCCAGCCAGCGCTGACAAATGATGCAGCTCTCTTGGTACAAACTGCACGCAGGTGAGCCATTGTTTGTCTAGCATGAACATCACCCAAGAGGACTTTTGAGCAGCCCGCAGCGTAGTGTGCCTTGTTCTCGAGATAGCTCAGCTGATTATCATTTCAGAAACGATACCTGCTTACATGAATTCAAAGAGTTATTATTGGAATTACGAATACGAAACTTCATGACGGGGCCAGCGGAGACCAGGGGCTGGCAAAAAAGGCACTGTGAGGATCTAGAAGTTGTTTTTCATTCACTTGAGCAAGGGGCCTCGCGCAGACAAAATGCAAAAGTATGCAACTGCTAAAAGGAGTGACCACTCCCAGCTGACTGGAAATGGCTGTGGCCTATATAGCTAACGGTCGGACTCGCACATATAGTTTCAATAAACAGTTTTGCGAATTAAGGCCTACTAGCCAGCTAATAGCCAGACCTGTTGATGGTCTCAGATAGAAAAACGATGTTGGTTCAGACTGGTCTGGTTGGCTCTGGTTCAGACTGGTCTGGTTCACCAAATTCCTTGTTTTTCAAATAAAAATGAAGCAAAATATTGAGAAAACTGGGGTAAACTGAGGCTATAAGGATCCACAATAGAACTTGGGCAACTTACTTGTTCGCTTGCAAGCCACTTGCTTAAATATGCCGCTTATTTAGCTTGAACCGGACGTCGAAACCGTCAACTTCGCTTGTCAAGCGACTTGATTCCGCTTGACTTGTGTGGAACGCTGCTGAATACAGCTCCTTTGAAGACTGCATGGAGCGTGGTGTGTACTCGCTCTCCTCTTTCCAGTGCTTTCTGTTGATCAGGCAGAAAGGATAGGAGAGAAGAGAGCCTGTCAAACCCTGCTTCTTTTTGGTCTGTCTCCCAGACATTGAAGAAGGAGGGATTCGTGTCCGGCGGTCTCCCTTGGAGCCGGCGGCTTCTCCTTGTTGAGATGGCAGAATTCCTGTCTTCACGCTCTCCTCGAGCCGAGCGTTCAGGAACAGAGCTCATCTCTAGTGGTGGCGTGTCAGTGCGCACCACAATTGTATCTCCTATATGCTCCTCTGGAGGAGTAAAAGGATCCCGTTGCTCGCGTCCGAGTCTTTCGTAGCTACCATTGTCATTTTGGTAAGCTTCCCTGCTCTCGTCTTGAGAGACTTCCAGCGCCATTGAGTGCTCTCTCGAGCCCTCAGGGCTAAGGAGATGACCTGCCTGGTTCTCCTTCCTCACCCCCGAGCTCCTGTTGACTGCATGGAGCTCTGTATCCAAGGCAGGTGAGGTATCCGCGGCGCGTTCTGTTGTTCCAAGTAGCTCCCAGATTGAAGCTGGGTTCTGCAGTTCCTCCTCTCGGAGCTCGAAGATCACCTCTCGAGCCTCAGATGCCGGAAGCTCTTCTTCCCGCTCCAGATGATAGAACAGCTGCTCGTCGAACGTTACATTCCGCGTCGTAAATACCTGGTTGAGCGCGGGAACCCATATCTGATAAATGTTTGAAGAGATATACCCCACCAGATATCCTATGTGCCCCCGTGCTTGTATCTGATATTGCTGTTTGTTTTGATATGCTTCCCGCTCTTTATGCAGTGGGTATGCGCGACATCCATAGGCATAAATGCTACTCCAGTCTGGTCTGAGGTCTGCTGTGAGCTCGTGCGTCACAGAGGGAGCATACCAACGGAAGTACTGAGCAAACTAGCGCTCTAGAACTTTGTTTGGCGACCGCATCTTCGTGCCTTGGCGCGGGGAAATGTTGAAGAGAAACGCGGCGGCCTCGACTGTGTATGGCCAGAGGCGCTCTGGTAACCCCGCTCCTTCTCTCATCTTTATAGGTTTCGTGATGATTTCTTGTCCTCCCCGCTCGGCTCCGCCGTTTGGTTCATGTGTGTGGGAAGGGGAAAGCTCGAGTTCTACCCCCTCCTCCTCACACCAGACCTGATATGCAGTGTTTCCCCTGCTTGAGATCACAGCCGTCTCATTATCCTGTCGAATTTTGCACACTGAAAGGCCATATCTTCGCCGTACCCAGCTCTCAAAGTTCATGAGGATCTGTGAGATTCCTGAACCCTTCTTCGAGCGCAGGGTATAAACAAACATTTTTCCGCTGTATTCGTCCTTAATCAAAAGGACCCAGCTCTGGTGCATGTGACCTGCTGGGAAAGCGAACAGGTCCCATGGAATCCGCCAAAAGGGTCGCCTGGATACATTTTCCGAGGCTCGCCTTGAAACCACCTGTCGAGCGTGGGCCGTAGCACAGAACTCACATCGAGCTTGTTTCGTGCCATTGATTCGAACCCCGCGCGCGTGGTTGACCAACGCCTTCAGAGCTTCTGGGCCTAGATGCCCTGACCGTAGCTGCCTAAGGCCTCGATGCCTAAGCCCCCCAGTTCCTGCAGTTGGTTCTGGCTGTCACAGTGATAATCGAGGCCAGCTCATCGGGCTAAGTTGTCCGGACCCGCCAAGGCCTTAACACGGGGATACTGGGCTAGGCTCACGCTCTCCGTGTAATAGTACCCCAGTGCGCTATGTCGCCATGCTCCAGAGCGGCGATATGGTATTTTGTCTTCACCGTCGCTTTACAGCTGTAAGGAAGGCAGTTGATCGTGGTAGTCATAGCGATCCTGGCTTCTTCGGCGGCGAATTTTATGTGTTCGACTCTAGCTTTCCCTTCCGAAACAGTTCAATAGGTCAGATCTCTTTCCCGAGACGCTTCCGCGCTATCTGCTAATTATTCTTCTTTAATTATAAACGCCATTAGATGCTCAGCTACTTTGACCAGGATACTAGGATTTTGATATACTATAGCAATCGGACTGATTACAAAAGGGGAATTCTGGATCTTGTGTTGAAACGAATGCAAGTGTGGACAAACGAGCACTGTTTTCTGAAGGAATTATCTGTGCTACAGGTTGTTGAATGTGAAGTGAGTAAGCTAGTTGGACATTTTTTTTCTTCTCCCGCATACTTCGTGCTACCACGCGATTCTTGTCTAAGCATATTCTCCAACGAGATCCTGCAATTTTGCCCGAACAGCTGCTGATTGCCAGGCCCGTTCTTGTCTCTAACTATCATCTTTACTCGTCTTTACTAGGAGTGCCTACAGCAGGATGACTATATCAACTGTAGCATCTTCGCGATCGAATGTGCAGTTGCCTTGATTACTCCCGGAAACTCTCCCAGCTTTATATCCTACTGCACTGCGCATGGAATATTTCAAGCTTGGCTAGGCATAACTCCAAGACAAAAAAGAACCAAGACTGGAGCTGAAATGAAATGCTCCCCAAGTCAAGTATCAACAATACAATATCAAGGGGAAATTTATACAACAAAGCGCCGAAAGGTGAAGAATACATATTCCATGTTAAAGATGTTCGAATAATAAGGAATCTCATTCAACAGCATATTCGAAACCTATTCAGATAATAATCCGATTATCCTCAAAGCATGAATTAATTACTTTGGAATATCCGGATTGCTGCAGTGTTTATTACAGTATCCTTTCTCGTGCTGTCTAGCTAAAGAGACCTGCCTATGCTGAGGGCCAGCAACGCTTCTGCGCCAGGGAGGCAGCCTGGTGGTGGGCGTGGTGGCTGAGAGGCTGAAGAAATCGAATCCAGTGTTCTCTTCATACAAAATAACTGATACAGATTTCTAGCAAACTCTGAACAGCGTGAAACGCGAGGTTATGAGGATTAATTGTTAAAGAAACAGCTATGTAATGAGCACTGCAGTAATCCGGAGATTCCTAAGTACATAAAGGGTTTATGCTAACAAGAGCGGTATCGAAGTATCAAGTCCTTAAATACGGAACCGTACAAGTCCTGAGAGGCGATGCAAGTGTTCACTGCCTTTGGAGCTATCAGAGTAAGAGAGTAATCTGATACTTAGATTAACAACTGAAGAGCTATATACTGAATCTATCTAATGATAACGAATGTATAATTATATATTCAGCTTTTTAGTATAAATATGTTGGATAGCAATATA